TCTCTTGGATTCAGGGAAATGATTGTTTCAATTGTGATTTTTCTTCCATCTGTGCCTTTTTCTCCTTCTGGGATTTCTATTATTCACAAGTTGGGGCTTCTGGATTTATCCGCCAACTCTCTTGCCCTAATACAAGACTCATTAAACCTCCATCTTCCCAGATTCTCCTGTCTACCTTTTCTAAAAAGTACTAATAATATGTTAAATATAGTTGGATATACTATAAAATTTGAATAAGGCCATCGTCCAGTAGTAACACTCTTAATTTACTAGGAAACTTTCATAATTTAAAGGACAAAGGAATATCAATAATAAATAAATATGAAAATTATTAAAGAATGGCACAAATATAACAAGTATAAAATTAAATATTGATGGGCTAAATAACCTAATAAAAACAATTTTCCTCTGAACCTCTTTTAGAATAGAACATCATCCCTATTACTTTCCAAATAATGCAAAATTGTACAAAAGACACTCAGCAATATCATTAATCGCAAAATAAATACAGCATTTTTTATCTTTATGTCAGAGAATCTTAAAGTGTCAGAGTCTACAATCAACTCCTTTTATTGATTTTTCTCCCCCTACAACTAAAAATTGGTAACTCCAGGAGAGAATGGAGTTGTTTTCTTCTGAGTGCCATTCTTTAGAATTAAAGAGACTGTTGTGTTAATAATTAAGCATTGTAGTCAAAAGCAAATAGGAAATCCCCTAAAACTTTCATTGGTAAACTCTTGTTCTTTTAAAAATTAGAAAATTTGTTAGGACGTTTTAAATTTGTTCAACTCATTGCAAAAGAACCTCATGTGGGTGAATAAGAAATAATCAGGCACTTTACACAAATAGGTACATCTACACTCACCCCAGGAGTAACAATCCCTGTGCTTCAGAGCATGGCTGATGACCAGCTGGAAGAGAGAAGATATTCCCTGTAGTATTTCTATAATATCATCGATTATATTCAGATGTTTATTTCCTTTTAGACCCATTGGGAGACTTTAAAGTCCATTATGGCCAAATAACACAACAAGAAGGTAAAAATCTTTAAAGATTTACAAAAATATATTAAAGAAATTAATTCAAGAAAAATAATAACCTCCCAGGAAATGTAAGCAGAAAAGCATGGAAGTGAACAAAGGTCATTTTGGGGGTATTTTATATCACACCCAGAACATGGCATAGAGTAGAACTCAGAATTTGTTGAATGAATGGATGAATGAACAAATGGATGAATGAACACACTTACCTGTGCCTGGGTCCAAATCCTAGTCTCACCAATATTGACATTGAGTCATTTGCTTATCCTCAGTTTACTAATCTTAAAAAAGGGGATAAGTGTGCCCACCTCTTCTTGTTATTACAGGATTGAAGTAGATAATGTGTGTAAGAGAAAAAAATCCAATGCCTAGTGCAGAACAATCAACAAATAACAGCCATTTTAAGAGCTTTCCTGGAATTGATTTAGTTAATTCTTTTTTAAAAAAATATATTTTATTGATTTTTTCACAGAGAGGAAAGGAGAGAGATAGAGAGCCAGAAATGTTGATGAGAGAGAAACATCGACCAGCCGCCTCCTGCAACACCCCCCACTAGGGATGTGCCCTCAACCAAAGTACATGCCCTTGACCGGAATCGAACCTGGGACCTTTCAGTCCGCAGACCGATGCTCTACCACGGAGCCAAACCGGTTTCAGCTGATTTAGCTAATTCTTGACTAATTAGAACTCACAATTAAATCATCTCAATATATTTCATAATAGATCTAATATATTTACATTGCCTTTATTATAAATCTGTATTCTATTGAGTCTTTGTGAAACCAATATCAAATTTTTTATAGCTTCAGTGTTTTTGTTGTTTTATATTTTATCGTTTTTTTACAGAGAGGAAGGAAGAGGAATAGAGAGTTAGAAACATTGATGAGAGAGAAACGTCTATCAGCTGTCTCCTGCAACCAAGGTACATGCCCTTGACCAGAATGGAAAGTGGGACTCTTCAGTCCACAGGCTGATGCTCCATCCACTGAGCCAAACTAGTTAGGGCCCAATAGCATATTATACTACCCACATTCCCTACAACTACTGGTATCATTTATTTTGAACTAAGATACATTTTCTGCTAATAAGCAGACCTCTCAGATGGTTCCTTCGTTTGGGCTAAGATAACAAAACACTATAGACTGAGGAGCTTATAAGCAACATAATTTTATTTCTCCCAGTTCTGGAAGCTGGGAAATACAAAATCGAGGTACTGGCAGTTTTGGTATCTGGTGAGAATATGGTGGAAGGAAGTAAGGAGCTTTCTTATGTCACTTTTATCAGAACACTAATCCCATTCATGAAGGCTCTGCCCTCCTGACCTAAGCACCTCCCAAAGGCCCCCACCTCCTAATCCCATCATCTTGGGGGTTAAGATTTCAAGATATGAATTTTGGGGAGACATAGACATTCAATCTATAGCAGATGGTATCCTGTGGTAAGTTCAAACTCATAAAAAGAGTAACAGCTGCTCACCTTGAAATGTCCAAAGCCCTGGCTCTAGGCTATTATGACTTTTGGCCAAATGCATACAAAAGTCATGGAAAGGATTGTTAAGATATGAGTGGTACTAACACTTCTAACAGTTTCTTAATAATCACCTTCTTGTTTTTAGCAATTATCTTGGGACCCCTAAAATAGATGTATCCTATAGATACTGATGTTCCAAACCCACATAAAGAAATTCTATGTAAACAGAATACACAAACTTTTGAATGCTCTGAAAGTCAGATTAAAAATAAATCATATAGTATTTGTGGTCAGTATAACTTTTTGTTATTTGTTTTGTTTTTGTTAATCCTCACCTGAGTATATTTTCCCATGCTTTCTCAGAGAGAATGAAAGGAAGGGAGGGGAGAGAGAAAGAGAAAATTTCAATGTGAGAGAGATACAAAGACAGGTTGCCTCCCATGGGTGCCCATAGGAGTCAGGAGGGAATCCACAACGTAGATATGTGCCTTTGAGCAGAAATCAAACTCTCGACCCTTTGGTGTGCAGACTGAGATTCTAACCACTGGAGCACACTGGCCAGGGCAGTGTAACTTTAAATAACAATAACAACATTCTCCCCAAACAGTGATCAACTGCTGTTTTCATTGGAAAAGGTGTGGTAAGATAACCTAGCTTATTGGACTATTTCTCCAAGGGCGGGGTTATAAAAATTCCTTTTTTTTTTCCTGGGCAGTAAAATGGTTTTAAATGTAGCTGTATGTAATCAAATTATCTCTTTTTTAAAAGATAAAAATTGGAACATTTCCTAGAACTTACGAGTTTTTATTTCGTGAATCATTTGCAAAAGGCATCCACGTCACTATGTCATTTTACTCAAAGATTTTTCTTCCTTTTCTTAAAAAATACATTTTTATCAATTTCAGAAAAGAAGGGATTGGGAGAGAGAGATAGAAGCATCAATGATGAGAATCACTGATCAGCTGTCTCCTGTCCGCCCCCTACTGGAGATGGAGCCCGCAACCTGGGCATGTGCCTTTGACCAGAGTTGAACCAGGGATCCTTCAGCCTGCAGGCCGCAGCCTATCCACTGAGCCAAACCAGCTAGAGCTTTTTATTTTTCTTCTCCCCTTTCTTTGTTCTCTATCATCAGCTCAACAGTTCTGCAGGCAAAGGGCAGGGCCAGATATCTCCAGCAATGTGTGGGGAGAGGAAGAAGGGTGCTTATTATATGAGGACCAATACTAGAACCCTCTTCATCTTCTTCTCCCGCGTCACCATCACTTAAGGAAACAGAAAGAACTCACCATTCTGAAGCTGAGCTGTGGTAAATGCTCAGGCCACGTGACATTGAGTAATGTTGATTGGAGCCCAAAACTGAGACTCCACAGCGACACAGGGATTTATCCAGAGCTGCTGAGCTACCTATGGGAGCTCAAGAACAGGCAACCCACTCCTGCCTCGAGGGAACCAGAGGTCCTTCTGGCTCAGGGCAGAGAGCGGGGGAGAACACAGCTATGGGGAGGCAGGAAGCGGGAACAGGGGCGGGGGTGGGGGGGTTGGACAGAGACACGTTTCACACCTTAAGAAGCCTCTGTGCCCAGCCCGAATGTAAAGCGGAAAGTGAAGGGGCATCGATTTGAATGAATACAACGAGCCTTAACATCGGTCATCTCGTTCAGCTCTCTAGGAAGCCGATTATTATGAGACGCCAGGGACTGGGGGTGAGACTGGCAGAGACTCTAGCCCCGGCTCCCGGCGGGCGCCCTCAGACGCCCGGGACGCGGGAGCGCGCGGGGCAGGCTCCGGCGGGTTCACCGGGGGGACAAAAGCCCGGCTGCCGTACAGAAACCCGGCCCTCAGCGAGGGCCTGCCGAAGCTGCCAGCGGCGGAAGAAGGGGGCGTCTGCCCGAGGCCAAACACAGACTGTGGGCGACCAGCGCCAGCCCCCTCCCTCCCTCCGCCAGCCTCCTCCTCCTCGCTGCGGGGAGGGCTTTCTCACGCCCCCCGCTCCTGGGTAACTGACGGCACCGGAGGTCGGAAGAAAGCGGGGCGAAGAGGGATGAGTCATAGCGCCTAATCATTCCTCCTTCCGAGTCCCCTCGCCCACCCACGCCGGCCCCCTCCCGAGATCCTGCAGCGGGGAGCGCAGACTTCCCCCGTCCTCAGCTCCTCCGCCGAATCCGCCGGGGCCTGCGGAGGAGAGGGGAGGGACGGCGCGTCTGGCCAATCGCAGCCTCGCTCTCCTGCCTGCCGCCCAATAGGCCGCTGTTTACAGGCGGGGGCGGGACCAGGAGGGCAGAAGTGGGCGGTCCCGGCTGGCGGGGCGCCGCGGTGCAGAGGCTGCTCCCGGGGAGAGCGTCTCCCAGGTTAGTCCGCGTCTCAGCGCCGCGGGACGCGCCGCCGCCGCCGCTGGCCAAGGTGCTGAACGCCGCCGCCCCGAAGGCCCCCTCGCCCGCTCCGTCGCTGGTTGCAGCCTCGGCTGCCGCCTCGCTCCCACCCCTGGTCCCCATGGAAGAGATGGAGGAAGAGTTAAAATGCCCCGTGTGCGGGTCCTTCTACCGGGAGCCCATCATCCTGCCCTGCTCCCACAATCTGTGCCAGGCGTGCGCCCGCAACATCCTGGTGCAAACCCCGGAGTCCGAGTCCCCCCAGAGCCGCCGGGCCTCTGGCTCCGGGGTCTCCGACTATGACTACCTGGACCTGGACAAGATGAGCCTGTACAGCGAGGCGGACAGCGGCTACGGCTCCTACGGGGGTTTCGCCAGCGCCCCCACGACGCCGTGCCAGAAGTCCCCCAACGGAGTCCGCGTGTTCCCCCCGGCGATGCCGCCCCCGGCCGCCCACCTGTCCCCGGCCCTGGCCCCGGTGCCCCGCAACTCCTGCATCACCTGCCCCCAGTGCCACCGCAGCCTCATCCTAGATGACCGGGGTCTCCGCGGCTTCCCCAAGAACCGCGTCCTGGAAGGGGTCATCGACCGCTACCAGCAGAGCAAAGCCGCGGCCCTCAAGTGCCAGCTCTGCGAGAAGGCGCCCAAGGAGGCCACGGTCATGTGCGAACAGTGCGATGTCTTCTACTGCGACCCGTGCCGCCTCCGCTGCCACCCGCCCCGGGGCCCCTTGGCCAAGCACCGCCTGGTGCCGCCGGCCCAGGGCCGCGTGAGCCGGCGGCTGAGCCCGCGCAAGGTCTCCACCTGCACTGACCACGAGCTGGAGAACCACAGCATGTACTGCGTGCAGTGCAAGATGCCCGTGTGCTACCAGTGCCTGGAGGAGGGCAAGCACTCCAGCCACGAGGTCAAGGCGCTGGGGGCCATGTGGAAGCTGCACAAGGTGAGTCCTAAGAAGCCCACCCCGAACTCCCCGCGCCTCGCCTCCGAGCCTTCCGTTTTTCGCAGACAGCCCTCTCCTTTTGCGCTCAGTGCATCCCGGCTGGGGCGCAATGCAGGTGCCTACAGCATTTGCCTCCCCCGTCTGGTGCATTGCAGGAAGCGCAGGCGGATCTTCAAACCCAGCACACTGGAGTTGATGATCCCCAGAGAGTTGTTGCAGGGATGCCTTAGAGCGGGTCTCCCGGGGGCATTGGGGATGATCCAGGCGCAGGGTGCCCCCTCCCGGCTGCAGACCCGCGGCTTGCGGTTGAGGCCAGCATGCAGGAAAGCGCTCCAGTGCCCCAGCCGCTCCAGGGCAAAGCAGGCTGCTGGGCTCCAGCCATGGTCCTTAGGGAGAAGGAGGGGGTGGTTGGGTGGTGAGGACCTCGATGGGCTGGAGCTGTTAGATTGGCAGGCGCCACGAGCTTCCGTGGGGGAGAGAGAGAGCCACGGGTGGAATACTGATGAGTCCGCGCTTGCCCAGACGCCACGAACATGCTGGAGGGGCTGCCTTGGGGGGCGTGCCTTGCGGTCGGTAGGGAGGCAGAGGAGTGAGGAGTGGGATGGGGAAATCATATGGTCGCCTTGGCGCCTGGGCCTGCAGGCTTAGATTTCCACCCTCCCCAGGGGACCTGTGGCTGGAGTAGCCAGACCTGAGGTTAGGTGCAGTCAAGGCCTGCAGGCTGGGCGAGCGTGTCTCCCAGGGTAAGCAGTCCTGCCAACCTCCCACACACCCATTTGTCCAAGGTTCTATCCCTTTCCCCTGTGTAAACTTTGAGACACCTGTTACCAGATTTACCTTTCTGGTCTCTTGATGGCGCTTCCACCAAGACCTACATGGCTTGTTCTCCTTTGACTTGCCTCATCAGTCTCATTCCCTCTGCTCCAGCCACCATGTCCCTCATGCTGTCCCTCAACCAACACCAGGCACCTTCTGGCCCCAGAGCCTTTGCATTTGATGCTACCTCAGCCTAGGGTGCCCTTCCCCAAAATGCTATACCCATATCTGAGTGGCTCACTCTCTTGCCTCCTTTAGGTCTTTGCTCAGATGTCACCTTTGCTGGGAGATCTTCCTGACCATAATTGCTGGCATCCATCTCAGACATCCTTTAGTTTCCTTCCTACTTTATTTTTCTCAGTAGAAATTATTACTATCAGGCATGCTATATGTTTTAATTATGTTCTTTCTGTATGTCTATTGCTTCCCTCATCTCCCTCCATCCCCATACACTAGAGAATAAGCTTCAAGAGAAAGAGATCTGCCCTAGCCGGTTTGGCCTGCAGACTGAAGGGTCCCAGTTTGCTTTCCAGTCAAGGGCACATGCCTAGGTTGTGGACTCAATCCCAGTGAAGGGTGTGCAGGAGATCAATGATTCTCTCTCGTTGAGGTTTCTATCGCTCTCCCTCTCCTCTCTGAAATCAATAAAAAAAATTTTAAATGAAAGAGATCTTTATAATGTTATATCCACAAAGCTTGGAAGAGAGGGAACCATTCCTGTGATGTACATAAATTTGACTTCTACTTTTTAAGTAATCCATTCAGTAAGGGTGTGACGGGCAGGGCAAGGGTCCAGATTGTTGTAGGAGGGTGTCTTCACATCATTTAATTACAAGCCCAGGAATAAGGCAGGGCCTAAACATGGTGGTCAGTCCCCTCAGCTATGCCCCCACTTAGGATTTCCCAGCATTCCTGAGGCCTGGCCTTTGAGAGAGGCCATTGATATTTTATTTACAGAATGAAAACAACACACACACACACACACACCACTTTCAGCAATCAGGGAGGGTTTCACAACTCAGTTGCATGCAATCTACATTTACAGTCATTTGTGTTCTCACGTATAACCTATTAAACCATATTAGTCTTGCTGGAGATCTAATTCAGCACAAATTTGAGCTCCACTAGGCACATGCCATTATTTTGAAAATGCTCCAATTTATATGTTTTTAAATGACAATTTTGAGTGTTTTTAAAAACTTAGTTCACAATCAGTTTTTATTTAATTTTGTGCATTCACTCTTCAACTGCTATGTTGAATTGCCTTTCTATCCTTGGAACTAAGAAATTAACCCTATCTGGAAAAAAAGAACTTTGAGCCACACACTAATTAAGATGATCAAACAATGACATTATTTTTCTGTGAACAAGAGCCTAAAGAACTTTATTCATTAAGACTTAAAAAAAAAAACACACCACAAAACCTTTAAATCTGTCTAGCTCTGTGCAGATTTGAAATGTTAAGCCATTTGTTTTATCAGTAATGGGAAGCTGTGTGTAGACTGTGATATGGACTGGATTGAAATTTAGATGCCTGCTAAAAAAGAATAATGTTAAAGCCCTTGAGATTTATATAGGCTAAGAAGGGAATGTTGGTTTGTTTGCTTTTAAAGATAATTTCTTATCTATTCTTATGCAGATTTTTTCCAAAATAGTAAATAGGTATAAATTTGGTCAGTCAATATCAGGATTATTAAACTCCCAAGAAAAAATAAGAAAGAAGGATGACAGATTTTAACATTCACTTACCATCTGTTGATGAACAACAAACATTACTCCCCCCTGTTATCTGTATAATAGGGTAGTTAATGTGTTAATGCTCGATCTTTCTCATATAATAATACCTCGATCCTCACATAAAGCTCATGGGCTGGAATTTTTATGCTCTTTAAGACATAAAAGAGCAAGATTTACACTAGCTAATTCTCCCAAATTTGGACAATTAGTTCTCTACACAGGTGATTACTAGACCCAAAGTTTTCATTAACAGTCCACCATGTTAATTAGCCATTTCTAATGACAAAAGAAATCTTATCTATAATAATAAAAGCATAATATGCTTATTAGATTGGACAGACAAACGACCTTCCAGATGTCCTTTGGACAACCTTCCAGGTGAAGCCAGGGCTGAGAGGGCCAAGCCCCTTGTACGAATTTTGTGCATCAGGCCTCTAGTGAATAAATATTTTCCTTGGGCACTAGGTCATTATCTTACTCAAGAAAAAATGACTAAAGTTATTTTTAAGTAGTTTTAAAAACTAGTTAAAATATATTAGTTGTCAATTGACCAAATTAAAATACTTTTAAGATATATATGATCTTCAAAATCCATGAAAAACTGCAGTGCAAGAAGAGACATTATAAGATAAATATCTGCTATTAGTTTTTATTTAGTATCAGCACTTGTTATGTTCCTTTATCTAACTAAGGTTGCTATAAAGTATTGCTACACACACAAAAAAATAATTTTGTAGATACTTTCAAATAGATCATTGTGATCATTATTATTACATTGCAATTTTTAGCAATTCACATTCCTAAATCTAACATTATCCTTGAATTCCTGATGTGTTTTATCAATTATTGGATCAGTGATATATTTGTGACCAGTTTTGTGTTTATGCTGTAGAGCAAGGGTTTACTTTTTCATTGCATCTAAACACTGACTACTCATTTATTCTGAATCTTGACTCAAATGTTATTCCTATCTTCTTTTGTGTTGTTGTTGATAATGATTTGCAATTTACAACATTTTAAAATAAACTGTCAGTTGTTATGCTTTGCTTTTCAAAGTATTTGGAGGGGAAATATCTGCTTTGCAGTATGGTGACATCTCATCAAGTATTTTTGTAGGAAAATGTGTTACTTAATGTAACTAAAATGATATTCAGTTAACTATATATCAGCAGTAAACACAATATTATCTAAAACATTACCGTGGTAAATGTAACAGGTAGCATATGTTCATGTTTTTTTAATTTTTAAAAAGTTTACTTCTAGTCCAGTCAGAACATTCTGTGTGCAATGTAAAATTCTTAGGCATTAAGGAGACTGTTACAGACAAACAAAATGTTCCTCCTTGTACTGAGACATAATGGAAAGAACTAGATGACAGGAGATCTGGGTTCCATATCTGATGTTAACACTTCCTTGCCAGTAACATAAAGCAAGTCTCATAACCTCTCTTGGCTTCCTACCCATAAGAATGCAAAGGAACTAGAACTATATTGTGGAGGGATTTGGGGGGGGGGAAGTAAATATTTATAACTTACTAATTTCGGTTTGACACAAGAGAAGTTTTTTTTTGTTTTTTTTTTGTTTTTTTTTTTAAATAAAACAGAAGTTATTGTCTCACTAGTCAACAACTACTACATAAAAATCTCACTCCCCAGCTTGGAGTACTTGCTTGCTCCTTCCAGAATACAGAGTGTGGTACAAAGTCTGGATGGTGGCCTAAAAGAGTGAACTACATCATTATAGGTCCAGAGAGAAAACTCAGTTAAGCTCAGGGAATAAGAATGCTACATAAAGGTTTATTTGTATATTAAACGAAGGTTTCTTGTTTTTCAATAATGAAGCTAAAAAGATAACTGCCATCTGTTATCTATAATAACAAAATGGTAATATCCTAACTAGACTGGACGCCTTCTGGATGTCATTTTGAACATCCTTCCTGAAGAAGCTGGGGCTGGAGGGAAGCCAGCCTGGGTCCCGGGTGCCAGAGGGGGGTGGGGGGAGGGAACAAGGCCTACTCTTGCATGAATTTTCATGCATCGGGCCTCTAGTTAAGTAATAAGATAATGCACGGACAAAATTTACCTTTACCATGAGTATAATAAATTGTACTTCTCTCCCCTAAACACTTCTCAAAGTGTGTGTATGCATATAACTGAACCTTGGCACACAGGATAAGATTCATTGCAAGACAGATGTTTAAGAATAAAATAGTTCTAAATAATATTATTTTTGTCAGTTTCATGAGGGATTGTTGGTTATAAACCCACTTAGGTGATCTCAGAGGAATTCATGGGAAATGAAACAAAATCAACTCACAGAGAGAATGGAACTAGAAAGCTGGAAACTAAGTTCACTTTCCATATTCATCAGTTTGGACTAAGTTACACTGCAGTCATTTCCAAATCTCAGTGAATTACAACAGCGTGTCATTTCTTACTCATGTCAAT